TGGCAAATGCTGTGGTCTGATTTTTGGGGTGGTTTTAAGTGGGACTGTCTGGTGGGACGCTGAGCTGATGAGAGCTCTTGCACACCCTTGGTATCCTCTGATCTACTTTGGAGATCCTTCAACTCGATTGCAGTTGGATTGGATGAAGCTGCTCTTGCCTTGATGTTCTGCTCATGTTCCTCGTCTGTTGAAGAGGACAAGGCGCTATCATCCTCATCTTCAATGTTCCAGCTACTGTTGCTGTAAGACTCCTTGTAACTCTCATGAGCTGACTTCTGCAAAATGGCTGCCATTTTGTTTCTTGTTGAATTGAAACACCCAACTGACTTTCCTTTGGCTTTGCCTGGTCCCTTTCTGGAATTTGTTTCCTTTGAGCGACTAAGGTTGCTCTTGGTACTGGTTTGGTGCACTGATTGTTTGTCCAACCCATGCAGAATATCTCTAGTGTTTCTCACAGATCCAACAAAACCAGCAAGTCCTTTTGCCCTGTTCTCGATTTCCCAATAAATTCGCCAGTACAGAATAATCATGATAGTGATGGGTAGGTAGAATGCAGCGATTGCAGTACCGTATGTAAGCGGAGGAACCTTCAAGAACGGGATAGAACAGGCCTGGGCTTCAGCCCCAGATGGTCGTCCCACCACATGAGGCCAAAACAAGATAGCGGGTCCCCATAGCACAAACGATACCACCCATGCAAGAGCGATCAATGCAGCTGCTGTCTTCGGAGTTCGCTTTGTTCGATAAGTCAGCGGTCGTGTGACTGAGAAGTATCTGTCAAAGCTTATGACCAGCAGGTTCATTACTGAGGCGTTGCTCGCTACATAGTCAAGTGTCAACCACAGATCACAAGCTAGATGTCCCAGTGTCCAGCGGCCCATGATTATGTATGCAGTATATAGGTTCATTGACACTGTACCCAAGATCAGGTCTGCCACCGCCAGACTCAGAAGATAGTAGTTACTGATGGTCTGTAGCTGACTGTTGACTCGGATGGAGATGAGCACCAAGGAGTTGCCCAGTATGGTAATAAGAGAAAGAGGCCCAGTCACAAGCACAATCAGAACCACCTCCCATTCCTGATGAGGATTCGTGGTAAGGTTTGCTGCTTGTGAGATGCAAGTGTGGTTCATGTTCCCAGGGGAGACACGACATCAGATCCTTGAAGGGCCAAATGCATTCTTCAGGGCAAAACCAGAAAGTGTCTCGTGCATTACTGATTATGAACACTAGGGGTGCTCTGTGGCTCTGTATTCAGATAAGAAAGACAGGAAGGCAAGTTTAATTTTTTTTTAAAGCACCTTCAGTAAATTACTTTCTCAAGCCTTTTGAGATGATGACTGTTTGATAGCACTATAATTTTAATTGGTTAGTCAGACCTCTTCTTATATGTAATTAATAACCAGTTTTACTCTTTACCAGTGAGCTTTCTATTAATAGTAAAAAAAACTTTCCATTATACTTTATAAGTATATTTCTATTATATACTTATATAATTTATTCCTGTGATGCAAATCTGAATTTTCATCAGCCATTACTCTAGTCTTCATTGTCACATGACAATTTATTATCGATTTTGGGAACAGAAAAAAAAAATTACTGACCCCAAACCTTTGAATGGTAGAGTATTTACAAAAGATGTGTATTTTAAATGAATGCTGTTTTTTTTTTATTAATTTTTTTTTTCTTTATTCATCAAAGAAACCTGAAAATAGTATCACAGGTTAAAAAAAAAAAACATTCAGCAGCACAACTGTTTCCAACATTTATAATAAATCGGCATATTAGAATGATTTCTGAAGGATCATGAGACACTGAAGACTGGAGTAAATGCTGAAGAAAATTCAGCTTTGCATCACAGGAATAAATTATATTTTAAAGTATACTAAAACAGAAAACCTTTACTTTAGATTGCAATAATATTTCACAATGTTACTGTTTTTTCTGCATTTTGTGATTAAATAAATGCAGCCTTGATGAGCATAAGAAACTTCTTTAAAAACATTTAAAATCTTACTGATACCAAATTTTTGAACAGCAGTGTATGTGATATGGTTTATGAGATGGGATGTATTTTAATAGCAGGAATAACTTTGATAATATTCAGACATTTCAGAACATTTCATGTAACTTCATTTTGCAATGCACAATAGGAAAGTATTGAAAAATCTCAAAAGGTAATGTTTCTGCCTCATGTTTACATGGACAATGTAATGATGCTGAGTATATCTGAATTTAAACTAAATGGATAATTCTAGTTAAAATAATTGTATTGTGCAAATTATAATATTTCAGTCTACATTTATTTGTTTTCAGTTGTTTCTAAAACATTTTTAAAATAGTTGTTTGTCATGTTCATTGACACTATGCAGAGATTGTTTGCTTTCTTTTTTTTTTTTTTTTGGCTTTTGCGGTTTAACATTTTTATTAAGACTTACGAAGATTCCGGCAGTTTCATGGTACATGGTCAATTTGTGTATAAATTTCCAGGTTAAATGTGAATGTGCACCATTAACACAAGTACAATTCATCCATTTCTTTTTGGATTCTCTAATCATCTTTTTATAGTTATATTATAGACAATTTGCCGGGTGCATGACTTTCCCGTAGATGCAAATACAGCAAACTTTTATTAGAAAATGCTGATTTACAGGTTATATGGCCTGAGTTTAACCTGAAAATCTCCAGAAAGTCTTAATATAATTCAATTTTAAATAGCAGTGGCCATGAAATAACAATATTGACAACATCATTAACATACCGACACTTACCTTTTTGGTAACCTGCCGTTACCTTTAAATTGTACATTTGAGGTCATAAGATGTATATTTATCCGATTTTTCCATGTGTCCACTGTAGGATGATGCATGATTATCCCTGATTCCACTGGGAATACTTTGATCAATCCCAGTACTCAAACAACAGCTACTTCCATGGTTGTGTTTGACTTGTAGGAAATTCTTGTAATAGAAAATAGTTATAGTAGTTCATCATAACATGGTAGCCCACTGGCTCCTCCACCTCGTCTGGCAAGAGGTGACAATGTGTGCTCTTCTGGCTGGAGGACCTGAGCTGCAGCAGCGGAAATAGGCGACTGTAATAATATGTGTAAATACTGAATGAGAGGCTGCTAACTGTTCATTCTCAAAGCCCCGTTGACAATGTGCAGACACCTCTCTTCATGTTTACCTCAAAGAAGCTCTGAACGCTGATGGGCTGGCGACCATTCACTCTCATTTATAATAAACAAGAATATGGTGTATTACAACAATTGTGAGCCACACTGTTTTTCTCTCTCTATTTATACATTATACTTGATGTACATATAACCTGGGATTCCTCTCAGTGATGGGTTAATACATGTACACCGTCCATGAGAGTTTGTGAGGTAGCTGTACAATGCACAAACAGATTTAAAGAGAAACAGCATAACCCGATAATGATACAATTCTTTACTTCAACAGTCTAGAATGGTTTAATTTCGAGACATTTGATCAGTCAGTAAGTCGTGTAGTCATTTGAAGATGCGTTTTGTTTCATTTATGTAGTTTAAGACATTTGGTTTTGTGAGTTTTTGATTTGGACAGAATTGTGACGTAAACTGATAATACCGTACAGCTGAGAGGAAAGTAATGCATTAAACCTGTTCATTGTATACTTAGCAAACAGTCTATCAGCTTGTTTTATGTAAAACAAATTTGCAATTCACAGTTTTTCATTTTCACAATTTTTAATTTCCTCTCTTATCGTTTAATGGGACACTCTGGGTGTGACCATTAGACTACATAGATTAATATTGTTTGCCTTTATAGACTCATTACAGAATACACCTTTGTAGTTAATCAGTAATCACCTCTCTTTCTCACGCCAACTCACTTCTGCTGTGCTGTTGTAGCAGAATACAAACACATGAACAGCTCATTTATTAATTAGAGGAGAGTGAGGTAAGATTTGCCACTTTAATTAAGGTGCCCTAGGACGGGAGAAATGAGGGATAAAACCAATATACCCAATTATATATTGCTACACTGACATTCTAAGGAAGCATTTATATCATTAAGCCATCTGTTGTAAACCAAGTAACACTTTTTAAAATTATTTTATTAAAGATATTCTTTCCATCAACAAACATGGGAAAAATTCAATCCCATTTCCTTAATATTGAGAACAGGCATCCTCATGTATCTGTTCACCATTCCAACCAAAAAGGAGTATGACGTGTTACTTCCTCCTTGCAGTTTCCTGGTCGTGTAATGGTCAGATTTTTTCATATGTTTGTGGAACATAAAAAATAATTCATAATTTCATTGAAAGAGGAGATTTCACTTGCCAAGGGCACCCTTGTTTTTTCCCCCAAGCTATCGGGTCCATTTGCCCTAAAATTCTCAATCAAGCCAATGTAATGGTACTTCACACAACTGGTCATAAAGATCCTTAGGACCAAGTCACCAACTCATTTTTTTTTCTTCCTTATTCTTTAATTGTGAAGTATATGAAAAAAATATCATATATATGAGAGAATGATAATGCTGAAAGCTGAACCACCATCTCTTGAGAATCTGTCTCCCATTTTGGGAAAAGGTGCCTGTTTAAGTAATTAGTTTAATCTTTAGCCAAATCATATGTTTGTTGATATTTTATTTTATGTTGTTGTTATTATGTTCATTATTTTACCTTACTCTTATATGGAAAGAACAAAAAGTTTTTAGCAAATCCCATCTACTTCTTTTAATCACATAATGGTATATAATGGGCTCCTACAATGAATATCGGGTCACTTAGAAACTGTGCACTGTTATACACGTTAAACACTGGTTCATCTTATCTCACTCTCCCCTATGCATTAATGAAAGTTTTCTTTTTATTATTTTTTAAAGAATATGTATTTCCAATCAAGACTATTAGTTGTTAACAGATGCCTTATTGTAGTCTGGGTAAACGACAGTAAGTTTCTGTTGCTGAGTGAAGATGGACGTGAAAGTCCACATGAACATTACAAGGAAGAGATGGGAGCAAAAGGGAAAGAAGTGAGAAATGTAAATAAACGTATGCTTATGTCTGTGTTTTGTCTGTTAAAAGAGGCTTGACAGTTGTGAGGCTGGTCACGCAAGCCCTAAGATAAAAATTTTACAGTGTTTCCTTTAGTTTTTAATAGGTTGTCACTTGTACAGTGCCCATTGCAGGGGTGAGAAAAGCTGTTTAGGAGCGGTAGATGGATGTCTTGATATAGGCAGGCACTGCTGTATGTTTGATCAAATGTGCTGGTGTTAGTATGTTCCCCAAAATCTGCTATTTCAAAAAATAATGATCAGTTAAGGAAAAGTTTGAACAGTATGCGTCCTAGTCTTTAGCCATTTTCAAAAAACTTATAAAGACTGGTCAGCACCTGACCAGTTAATACTAGCACTTACCTGTTCTGTTCTATTTGGTTTTTTTTTTTTTCAAATTTTTTTTTTTTTTAAACTTCCAAGACTTGTCACATAATTTGTATACTGTTGCTCTCTTGTTGGTCTGATTGCTTCTATTGTTCTCCTCATTTGTAAGTCACTTTGGATAAAAGTTCCTGCTAAATGATTAAATGTAAATGTAGCCTAAATGTTCTGATCCATGCATACAGAAACTACAAGCCAAGCAGCAAGCCACAAATCTTTGTGTGTGTGTGTGTGTGTGTGTGTGTGTGTGTGTGTGATAAGAAAAAAGTTATTAAACCTGTTACACTGTATTATGACAGCACTTTTTGTTAAAAACTAAGGTCAATACCGTGATAACACCGCATACCGTGATATAAATGCATTAGCAATTAATCGCAACATGAAAATTTGATACCGGCATATCCCTAGTCAGAATCCTATGTCACTGACCTTGTCATGCAATTCCCAGGGGAGCTTCTTGATTGACAAGTGCCCCGCCCCTTTCTGTGGAATCACCCCAATGAAGTTATGTGATTTCAGTCACATGACATCTATGCTAAAATTATAGTAAAAATCCTGTTGACTAAATTTTGTTAGAACAGGAAATAAACACACTGGAGTTTAGGTGTCCCAGATTACCCAATGTCCCAGATTACCCGAATTCACCCTACTACAGTTATCAATGCAGTAGACCATTCCCCTCTACGTTTTAACGGAACGTTTTAGTCCTTTGAATGTTATGGGGCGCAACAGGGGCTGGACTGAAAATGGGAAAGCATCTGAGAAAACAATTATTTTGTGGGATGTGTGCGACCCTCGGCACTTTCCCATTGTTTTAACCGCTCATCTGCGGGACAGGAATTCCAGAACGGCTCCCGCCCACCGGTCACGCTAGTCCTGGTCATGGAATATTTAGATTGCTTATGAACAAATTGTCTCTGTTTGTCTTATTCCTCTTTTTTCTATTGAGTCAGTATGTGCTCGCGCCACAGGTGGGCTGTGCTCTACACCTGTCTACAGGAATGACATGTGATGCCCGTGAAGCCTCACTGAAGCGAAGCGTGCTACCTGCACAGCGCGAGCGTGACCTTTAGGTGGACCTGAGGCTGTTGTGCTTTTGAAACCAGATCGGAAAACTTACAGGTAAGACAAATGGCTCCTAAATGTATCTAGTAATCTTTCCAGCTCATCTAGAGACTTTAGTTTTGCATGCTCCCTGAATTCGACGAATTCTCCCTTTTAACAAAATGTAGTTAGACGGCTGTCAGTTTGAGTCTCAACCGTGTCTCGCGCTCCATGCGGCCCGCTAGCTTTCTCTTATTTCTAAACGTCTTGTGGTATAAGTAATTAGGAGTGAACAGTAATTACAACTTTATTTAATTAGGTTCAATTATGTTTCACCAAATCTATAGAATCGCATTAATTTAAGGCAACCCCAAACTTTTGTTGAGGTGTGAATTACACGATTTGATGTCCTCATAAAAGAAGAAAAAGCATATAGCTTGTTGTGCTCAAATGCCTCTTCTTCAAGAATGTGTAATTAACGTCATGAAAAAAAAGAAAGAAAATCCTAATAATGTACTATACAAACTCAAATGTCAAAAAGCAGAATAATATGTTATTACGTTACACCTCCTGTAATGTGTATGGGTGCTTCTTCACCTTTAGGCATTTTTATGTTGTAGAGATTTGGTTTCAATCAGATTTCACTTTTTCCCCCATTAAAGCTGCCTTGCAAACTTATTTTGCTTCATATCTCAAAATGGATTTCATGTATAGATTTATAGTGAAATAACCATAAACCATTTTGATACTTGTTATGTAGAAATTATTTATATATTTTTTTTTCAATTTTTTTCATTAAGTTGTGGCATCTCATTTCCACTACCGTAAACAATTTTACCTACATATTATTTTTCCAAAGTATAGCATCAGTGAAGAGAATGTATTTAGGATACAAAAAATGCTAGTTTTGACACTAGCCTTAGCCTGAGTCGGCTATTTTATTATAAAGATGTATAAAATGTAATTTCACCACAGAATTTTACAAAAAACAATACATCATTTGAAATGTGGTGAAAATGACATTGTGGTGGAAACCAGAAAAAAAGTGACAGAAATCTCTTGTGCATGTCCACTGTTAAAACATTTTAGTTGTCAAATTAAATGAACTAGTGAGAATGTGAAGTGTTTTAACTGCTTTGTCTAGAATTGTCTAAAAGTCCACAAACATGTGCATTGTCGAAGAAACACCTATAGCACCCCCCCCCCACTCTTTTTTTTAGATAAACCGAATATGAAAAGCATTTTCATCAGTTATTTACATTTTAATTTACACACAGTTTACACTGCTTAAAGCAATGATGTACAGTCTCATAAAAAAAGGTACAAAAGCTGTCACTAGATTGTTACCCTTTTAAAAGGTGCTAATATTTACCATTTAGGCACTGATATGTACACTTTGGGTACTAATGAGTACTTTCAAGGTACTTATATGCACCCATTGGGGTAAAAATGGTATGTACTTTTTGAAAGGGTACCGCCCCAGTGACAGCTTTTGTTCCTGTTTTTCTGTGAGTGTACTTCATTACCTCTAGACAACTGTTACAAAACTGTCTGTAACAGTCATTTTAGATCTCAGTGTGTTTCAAATGTTAACCTGTTGCATTATGTGTTTGCAGCCCAAACTAAGCTTCAGTGATTACATTACACATATGTGTCCTTGTCTCAGTTTCAGTCTACTTCTCTCTCGTTTCTTTGTCTATCGTAGCTGGTCTAATGATTTTTCAGTTAACTTCAGTGCTGATTATTCCCAAATTCAGATAGCATTGACGATTATTACAATGGAAACGGTAGGTATAGCAACTGTGTGTGATACTTTTTTTAGTCATTTTATGACTATTATCCTGGTAACCAACGAAAGCATCTCTGAACGGGAGTTCTCATCTTGTATGTCACTCCAAGCAAAACGTATAGGACTAATTCCAGCTGTTACATCTTCTCAGTGTGAGGCAAGGAATTGCATAGTTTGTTGAGCAAGTTCACTTCAGTGACAGGTTGGTGACACCTGCAGGCAGCTATTTGCCTAATAATAAAAGCAGAACCCTATTAGCTTCATCAAAATCATAAACAACACTAAAGTAAAATATATGTGTGTACTCTGAAATGTAACTTGAATATTGCATTAGAACATACCTGGGAAGTATTATTATCAATGTCCTTCTTTATAGTCAGAGAAAGCATGTTTTGCCATCAACATGCACGGTGCTGTTTAAGGGAATGTATCACATTTGCAACTCTTGCAACAGTGTATTTCTGCATTGTTCTGTTCCAGTCAGGGCCAATGAAATTACCAGGGGCCATGTGTTCATTCCCAAGTCCCAAATTATAGCAGTTTCACTTTGGAACAGAGTGGTATGGGGTGAAATTGGCTCCATGAAACGGTTAATGCAGGGAGCCTTTGCACACAGTATCACTATAAACAAGCATTAATACTCATCCATGCATGCTGGGTCAAGTAGAAGAAAAATAAGACTGTTCTCCTGCTTTAGAGAGTACTGCTTGCAAGAATGATCTGCCATAGTGATTTGATAAATTAGACTGTTTACATTATTCAGAGGAAGTAATTCATCAAGGTGTCTCTGGGATTGAAGCTGTTCCAAACTGCACAAAGGCTTGATAAAGAATCCAGCATCTTAACTGTTTACCTTAAAGGGATTGTTTACCTAAAAATGAAAACTCTTTCATCATTTACTCACTCTCATGTTGTTCCAAACCTGTATAACTTTATTTCTTCTGTGGGTCTCAAAATAGTCTGTGTTTTTTTCCCCATACAATACAGTGGTCTTTTGGACCCCCCTGTCTTTCATTGTTTGAACAAAAACGGCTGAAACATTTTTCAAAATATCTTCTTTTGTATCATACAGTTTTGGCATGACATGAAGGTAAGTAAATAATAACAGAATGTTCATTTTAGGTGAACTATTCCTTTAACATGTATCTTTAATTAGCAAGGAGACAAAATAGTTTACTGGCAATTAATTAAATAAAGGTATGTCTATTTAGGAACATCCACAAAAGTGAAATTCCTTGAAAAATTCTACTCAAATTCACTGTACTTGCAATCCATTACAGCATTACTTCTGTGTGGTCTTGTGACTGAAGACAGATCCCAACCTTTGCAGCTGTTTTGTTTAGTCCGTGTTTCAGACTGTACAGTGATTCTGAACTGATTTGCACAGCAAACATACAAAGATGCCATGTCTGCTCAGAGATGCTTTCAGTTAAATGTGTAATGTTCACTTCAATGAGTGCCAGAAAATATTTGTGTTTTATGTGTGTCAGTGTGTTAGAGGTCTGTTTTTTGAGTGATAAGTGATGTGATGAAGCAGCAACAAAGGTGGTCAGTACAGGATGTTTGTACATGTGTTCTCGTATGTGTGCATGTTTGCTTTTTAATGAAAGGTCCAATTGTTGATGTAGAGAAGGGAAATGCCAAACCATACTGAAGCAAAAAACAGACAGTGACTCTGAAGTGATCTTACAGAACACACACAAACTGTTTGTTTATGTGTGAGTTTGAAAGGGCATTGCATGAGCCTGAAGGGGGCTGGTTTGAGT